ATACAACATATTCCAACTGCTAAAAACCAAAGATAAAGATAAAATCTTGAAGGCAGCCAGAGGGGGAAAAGGGGAACAAAATCAAGATTATAAAAGAATTCTCAGAAACTATCCAAGTGAGAAGACTAACTTTCCTAAATAAAAGAAAGAAGTCACAAAGAATATGATACCTTGGAAAACTATCTTCCAAAACTGAAGGCTTGTTTCTCATAAACCAACGCTGAAATAATTCACTGTTAAGAGACCTGTGTTATAAGAAATGTTAATGGAATTCTTTCAGGCAGAAGGAGTATGGTGCTAGGCAGAAATATGGATCTACACAAAGAAATGAAAAGTGCCCAAAATGGTAAAAATTAGAGTAACTATCAAAGGTTATTTCCCATATTTTTAATCTAAAAAGTAACTGACAATCTAAAGCAAAAAGAGTAACAACGTAGGTAATTAACCTATGTAAAATTAGGTGTACGACAGTAAAACAAAAACATGAAAGAGGAATCAGATATTTACTGTTTTGCATGGAATTTTACTCTATAGATGAAGTGGTTCAATATTACTAGAAGAAATTAAAGATATACACTGTAAACAGTAGGTCAAATATAAAAGAAATTTTAAGAAATACATAATAAGGCAATATTGAAGTTAAAAACACAATCATTAAAAAAAAAACATTCAATTAATCCAAAAGCAGACAGAAAAACAGAATGAAGAACAGATGGGAGAAATAGAAAGCAACTATCAAAATGACAGATTTACATGGAAAGAGCCTAAATGTCCATCAGTTGATGAATGGCTCAAGAAGATGCGGTTTATCTATACAATGGAATACTACATGGCAATGAGAAAGAATGAAATCTGGCCATGTGTAGCAACATGGATGGAACGAGGGTGTTATGCAGAGCGAAATAAGTCAGGCAGAGAAGGACAGATACCATATGTTTGCACGTATAGGTGGATTAGGAGAAACTTAACAGAGGACCATGGGGGAGAAGAAGGGGAAAAGAAGTTGGGGAGAGGGAGAGAGGCAAACTATGAGAGACTCTTGAACACTAGGAACAAGCTGAGTGCTGATAGGGGTGGGGGAGAGGGGATGGGGGGTGATGGGCATGGAGGAGGGCACTTGTTGGGATGAGCACTGGGTGTTATATGGAAGCCAACTTGACAAACTATGAAAGAAAAAAAGTGACAGATTTAAATCCAACCATACCAATAATCATACTAAATACAGTCTAAGATACCAATGAAAAGACAGAGATCTTCAGACTAGATAGAAAAGCAAGAAATGTCAACTACACTGTATGTGCACATGACAACAGATCTTCAAAATATATGAAATAAAAACTGGCAGAATAGAAGGGAAAAAGAAACAAATCCATAAAACTTCTGTGGAGACCTCAACATCTCTCCCTCTCAGAAATCATTACAAGTAGATATAAAGTCAGTATACATAAAACCTCAACAACCCTATCAACCAACTAGACTTAAATGACATAAAAAGAGTACTCCACACAGTAACAGCATCATATTATTTCAAGTGCTCACAGAACACTGACCATGACAGGCCATATTCTGGATCATAAAACAAACCATGACAAAATGAAATGAACTGAAATTTCAAAGGATGTCTTCCAACCACAACAGAATTAAACTAAAAATCAATTATTGTAAGATATCCGGAAAATCTCCAAATATTAAGAAATTAACGTATTTCTAATTTTTTAATGTTTTTTATTTATTTCTGAGAGAGAGCAAGAGAGACAGCATGAGCAGGGGAGGGTCAGACAGAGAGGGAGATACAGAATCTGAAGCAGGCTCCAGGCTCTGAGCTAGCTGTCAGCACAGAGTCTGACATGGGGCTCAAACCCACAAATCGTGAGATCATGACCTAAGCCGAAGTCAGACGCTTAACCAACTGAGCCACACAGGTGCCCCCAAGAAATTAACATATTTCTAAATAATCCATGGCTCAAAAGGAATTCACAAGGGAAATTAGACTTTAAAAAAAAAATTTTAACAATTATTCATTTTTTGAGAGACAAGACAGTGCAAGTGAGGGAGGGACAAAGAGAGGAAGACAGAATCTGAAGCAGGCTCCAGGTTCTGAGCTGTCAGCACAGAGCCCAATGCGGGGCTTGAACTCATGAACTGTGAGATCATGACCTGAGCCAAAGTCGGATGCTTAGCCAACTGAGCCACCTAGGCACCCCAGAAATTTATTTAAAAAAAATTTTTTAATGTTTTTTTATCTATGAGAGAGAGAGAGAGACAGCGTGAGCAGGGGAGGGTCAGAGAGAGAGGGAGACACAGAATTTGAAGCAGCCTCCAGGCTCTGAGCTAGCTGTCAGCACAGAGCCCGATGCGGGGCTTAAACCCACGAACTGTGAGATCATGACCTGAGCCAAAGTTGGCGCTTAACTGACTGAGCCACCCAGGCGCCCCTTTATTTATGTATTTAATTATTTTTCAGAAAAAAAATTTTTAGAGAGATTTTATCTATTTGCAAATCAAAATGTGATATACCACGTTAATAAAAGAAAGGGTAAGAACCATATGATCCTTTCAATAGATGCAAAAAGTATTTGACAAAATACAGAATCCTTTCTTGATAAAAACCCTCAAGAAAGTAGGGACAGAAGGAACATACCTCAACATCATAAAGGCCATGTAGAGGAAAGACCCACAGCTAAAATAATCTTCAATGGGAAAAAGACTGAGAGCTTTCCCCCTAAGGTCAAGAACATGACAGGGATGTCCACTATCACCAATGCTGTTCAACACAGTATTGGAAATCCTGGCCTCAGCAATCAGACAACAAAAAGAAATAAAAAGCATCCAAATTGGCAAAGAAGTCAAACTTCCACTCTTCACAAATGACATGACACTCTACATGGAAAACCCGAAAGACTCCACCAAAAAACTGATAGGTGAATCCACCAAGTCGAAGTTATAAAATCAACATACAGAAATCGGTTGCATTTCTATACATCAATAAAGAAGCAACAGAACAAGAAATCAAGGAATCGACCCCATTTGCAATTGCACCAAAACCCATCTCTTTAACCAAAGAAACAAAAAGATCTGTGCACTGAAAACTATACAAAGCTTATGAAAGAAATTAAACACAAAGAAATGGAAAAACATTCCATGCTCATGGACTGGAAGAACAAATATTGTTAAAACGTCTATACTACCCAAAGCAATCTACATACTCAATGCAATCTCTAACAAAATAATACCAGCATTCTTCACAAAGCTAGAACAAACAATCCTAAAATTTGTATGGAACCAAAAAAGACCCCGAATAGCCAAAGCAATCTTGTAAAAGAAAACCAAAGCTGGAGGCATCAGAATCCCAGACTTCAAGCTGTCTTACAAAGCTGTAATCATCAAGATAGTATGGAACTGGCACAAACACAAACAGATCAATGGAACAAAATAGAGAACCCAGAAATGGACCCACAAACGTATGGCCTACTAATCTTTGACAAAGCAGGAAGGAATATCCAATGGCAAAAAAGACAGTCTCTTCAGTAAATAGTAATGGGAAAACTGGACAGTGACATGCGTAAGAATGAAACTGGACCACTTTCTTAGACCATACACAAAAACAAATTCAAAATAGATGAAAGACCTAAATGTGAAACAGGAAACCTCAAAATCCTAGAGGAGAAAACAGGAAGCAACCTTTTTGACCTCAGCCACAGCAACTTCTTACTTGACATGTCTCCAGAGGCAAGGGAAATAAAAAGAAAAATGAACTATTGGAACCTCATCAAGATAAAAATCTGCACAGAGAAGGAAATAACAAAACTAAAAGGCAACCAACGGAATGGGAGAAGATACTTGCAAACAACATACTGAATAGCGGATTAGTATCCAAAATCTATAAAGAATTTACCAAATCCAACACCCAAAAAACAAATAATCCAGTGAAGAAATGGGCAGAGGACATGCAAAGACATACACCGTTCCAAAGAAAACATCCAGATGGCTAACAGACACATGAAAATAAATAAATAAATAAATAAATAAATAAATAAATAAAATAAAAAACCTGACCAAGAAAACTCCAGGCCCAGATGGCTTCACTGACCAAGTCTATCCAACATTAAAGAAAAAATATCAATTCTACACAAACTATTCTAGAAAACAGAACAGGAGGGAACATTTCCCAACTCATTTTATGATGCTAGAATGACCTCAATTCTAAAATCAGACAAAGGCATCACAAAAAAACTATAGACCAATATCCCACATGAAAAAAAATGCAAAAATCTTCAACCAAAAGGCTGGGTGGCTCAGTTTAAACATCCGACTCTTGATTTTGGCTCATGATCTCACAGTTCAGTTCATGAGGTCAAGCCCTACATCGGGCTCCGTTCTAACAGCATGAAGTCTGCTTGGGATGGTCTCTGTCCCTCTCCGTCCTCCTCTGTCTGCCTCTCTCAGGGAAGAAGGGAGGGGAGGGGCGGGGAGGGGAGGGGAGGGGAGGAAAACAAAAAAAAATTCTCAACCAGATAGTAGCAAATCTGATCCAGCAATATATAAGAGCAGCAAGCCTCTTTTAAGAGATTTAAAGATTTAATCCATGGTTTACTCCTGACCTGGAATTACTCCCAAAGACAAGCGGTATTTGATTCCATTCCAAATTTAGTCTTGATGTAAATATAGAATTTTGTATATCTGACTTTTTACAAAGCTCCTTCCAAAGTCAAGGCACTGAGCAGACAGTTTAATTCAGGAAATTAGGCAGATTATACAGTAGCTGAGACCTTATAGAAGAAACCTTTGGGTTAAAAGTAATCTACAGTCTCATGAACACACACTCAAGTAAAAGGTAACGAACCTGTATCTTTGGTTTCTAACAAAAGAAATTTAGATAAAGAGAAAACTGACTAGTCTTTACTTTAAAAAGTCAGCTCAGTTTCCTCAAGGTTTTAAAGATTATGATCTACAGCATCATTCCTAATCTGCTTTCTCAGCAGCTTGGTTTAATTACTTACCTTCAACCTGGCTAGTATCCGAGCATGGTTTCTTCTTTGACTCCAAATTCCCAGTTTTCTCATCCACATCCAGTAGAGGAATATAGTCTGTTTTTCCAACAGTTTCTCCCACAACATCATCAAAGGCCTCTGCCTCCAGCGTGGCAATGAAGTCCCGTTTTATCTCTTCCTCAATTTCTGGAGGTGGGTCTGTTAATGCATCTGCAAGACTGAGGTCAGCCATTCTGCACCAATGTAACTGCCTGGTTAAGGAGGGAAAAATATTTCATAAGATGAGCACTATGCAAAGGAAAACACATCCCTAGAAACACTTCTCAGTTGTTCTAACAAGAAAATAATTAAAATCCAAAATTTTAGAGCTAGAAAAGGCTCCCTCATTTGACAGATTAAAAAATTAAAGCTCAGTTAACCAACAGTCTTACCCAAAGTAAACACCCGCTTTTTCACATCGCTGGGAGGTAAACAGAGCAAGTGCCATTTTCTCATTAATAAGAAAAAAACAGGGACGCCTGGGTGGCTTAGTTGGTTAAGCATCCGACTTCAGCTCAGGTCATGATCTCACAGCTTGTGGGTTCGAGCCCCGTGTTGGGCTCTGTGCTGACAGCTAGCTCAGAGCCTGGAGCCTGCTTCAGATTCTGTCTCCCTCTCTGTCTCTCAGAAATAAATAAAACATTAAAAAAAAATTTTTTTAAAGGAAAAGAAAAAATAAAGTGTAAAAAAACCCCCAATATATCCAAAGTTATAGCCAGTAAGACTCAAATCAGGTCTTTTGATTTCAAGTCTTATAAACTTTTTAATTATTCCATATATCTTTATTTCCAAATCATGTCCCAGAATAATTCTTAAAAATATACAAAAGGAGGTCAGATTACATTATATTCCCATGAAAAAAGGTTATACTACTATCAGGCAAAAGAAGCCACCTCTCCTAACTAAAAGCACGTTGAGTATGGGCCTTATCTTGTTGAGGTTAAATACTGTTTCTTCATGAATCTCTTGTTGTTAGCTCTGTCCACCAAAACTATGCCTAGCCTTGCTGGCATGAAAAATACAGATCTGTTCCCTGATTAGTTATGGGCGCAATCCCTCTTTGTGGCCATGTACATCACCATCTTTACAGAACATCAGGCTCTCAATTTTTAAACATAACTTGAAGTATAATCTACTATAGGCAAAATTGTTACATGAAGAGCCAAGAAAATATAAATTGTGTAGTAAAAACGCAAAAGGACCTGCAAAAAAATGGAGTTCCCAGTACATACATAGCACAGTGGGATATCTGTCCTTCAAAATGTCTAACTTTGGGGCACCTGGGTGACTCAGTTGGTTAAACGTCTGACTTCAGCTCAGGTCATGATCTCACAGTTGGTGAACTCATGCCCCATGTCAGGCTCTGTGCTGACAGCTCAGAGTTCAAAGCCTGGAGCCTGCTTTGGATCCTGTGTCTCCCTCTCTCTCTGCCCCTCCCTTCCAACACTCTTCTTTCTTTCTCTCTCTCTCTCTCAAAAATAAACATTAAAAAAAAGTCTAACTTAATAGAAACTCTCCAAGAGACTCATGAAGATAAGTGAACATATAAGCTTTCTTGACCAGGTAAAGGTAAATCAAATAGAAATAACAGCTACTGCTTCTTCCCAGTCAGAAATCTATTCTTCATTGTCTTCCCCCATTATACACCAATGGCCACCCCAGTGGCGTTGGGCACATGACCAAGAAGAGGATGGTTGGAAAAGGAATGTTTCATGACTACATCCTGGATGGAAGATCCACCAAGTGGCAGCTGTTCAGTTGCCACAGATCTCTTCCTTCTCAAGTCTACATGAGCAACCTTCCAATCTTTCTTTCGCCTAATCCAGTCAGTCTATTACTTGCAACCAAAGACTCTCAACTAATCTTTCCTCAACCCAAATTTTTAAAGGTCAAATTTTACTATGATTTAAGCCACTTTTTTTTTTTTAACATTTATTCATTTTTGAGAGACAAGAGAGAAACAAACTGGGGGGGGAGGGGGAGGAGGGGCGAGAGAGCCAGAGGCAGAATCCAAAGCAGCCTCCAGGCGCTGAGCTGTCAGCACAGAGCCCAATGCAGGGCTCAAACTCACAAACTGTGAGATCATGACCTGAGCCAAGGTCAGACACTTAACTGACTGGGCCACCAGACACACTGGTTTAAGCCACTTTTAAAGGCTCTCCTTTAAAACTATTATCCACTGTCAACCTCTCTCCAACTAAATTTACTAAGGAAAAAGAAATATCCACCAAGGAATACAGTAATTCTATCTTCATCATTGTCTTCTACACACAAGTTCCTATCACAGTCATCAGAAGGGAGTAGCACACATATACTCCATTTACAATACATGAACATGGATGGGCAGTCCTATTCTCTATGGCACCCAGGCTACTTTACATATAAAGTATTATTATCACTTCAGATCCCTCTAGGAAAAATGCTGAAAAATGACTCCTTAAAGGATTTTTAAAAAGCCTGACAAATTTAATGTCAATAAGTTCCATAAAAAGTAACTGCTTTTCCCTTTTCTATAACTATTATTACCAGTTAGCATTTGAAACCTATTATGAACAAAAAATAATAAAGGATGTCTATAATTAAAAAGTTTCATAGTCAAAGAGCACTTGAAAGGACATCTGTACCATCCTTAACAATGGCTTTGTTTCCATAATATACACGTATGATACCATTTTCATGCAATCCACTCAAACTTCCTAATTCAGGGCACAGGTAAAAATAGAGGCAAAACCATGGGGCACCTGGGTGGCTTAGTCGGTTAAGCATCCGACTTTCGCTTAGGTCATGATCTCATGGTTCGTGGGTTCGAGCCCCGCATCGGGCTCTGTGCTGACTGCCAGCTCAGAGCCTGGAGCCTGTTTCAGTCTGTGACTCCCTCTCTCTCTGACCCTCCCCTGCTCACGCTGTCTCTCTCTCTCACCTAGAAATAAATAAAACATTAAAAAAAAAATTAAAAAAAAAAAATAGAGGCAAAACCAACAATATCTTTTAAATCTCATTTATCTGAGTGCAGTTCTCAAATGGCAGCTCTTTATCCACTGTAACTTTCCCCTGTTCACCCCCACCCTCAACCTCCCAAACCGCTACCTGGGCTGACAGGTGGCTCATGGAATATGAAGAGCAGCTTAAATTCAGCCTAAGAAGGTAAAACTGATAGAACATGAGACAGCTGGAAAGCGGGAAGGTCATTTGGCTCTGAGTGCATCTAGCCAACCACCCAAGCATCTGTATCTCAACACAGTTTAGCTATTCCTTTCTTGTCACTACATATAAATAGAAGTATGATTTAAACACACCCACACCCACACGCGTGCGCACGCACACACACCATCCACTTATGGAAAATAATCCTGTAAAGGCAATACTGGTGTTGTGTTGGAGGTGAAAGTACTGGTTTCATCCAGAAAGCCCAGTGTTCAATAAACTACAGAGACTGCCTACTTTTATAGCTATTCTATTCTAAAAAATATACAAGTATAATAAATTCTGTAAGTGTTGTACAGGTTTGTTAAACTGGTTCTACAAGTATTCCAGAATTGATTTTAATGAATTCATGAATGAATTTCATCCCACACTTACAGAATCATTTAAGGTCACTTAATACTCAGCTATGCCTTAAAATGGTTAGTTATGTAATGTATGGACAAAAGGAAATGACACAATGTTATTCTCAAATCTGGATATTCAGGAAGTTCCAAAAATGTACCTTTGTGAATGAGAACTATATACTTAAAAGAAATTATTTCTCCTTGACTGTTTATACTATTCCTTTCCTATTTGTATAAAGTTTGAATTTAAAGGCAAGAAAAGAAAGCTGGGTACAGGAGTTTCTAAGCTTCAATGAAGCACTAGTTTAATCTACAGCTTTCAGTGAGTCACCTTCCATGGCCAAATTCCCTAATCTTGTAAAATGAGAGTGGTATGTTAAATGATTCATGAGGTTGATTATTCTACAAGCTGCTAATAATTTAAAATTTATTTTTTTAATGTTTATTTTAGAGAGAGCGCACGAGCAAGCATGAGCAAGGGGAGGGGCAGAAAGAGAGGGAGACACAGAATCCAAAGCAGGCTCCAGGCTCTGAGTGGTCAGCACAGAGCCTGACGCAGGGCTCAAACCCACGGTGTGCAAGATCATGACCTGAGCTGAAGTCGGACACTTAACTGACTGTGTCACCTAGGCGCCCCAAACTGCTAATAATTTAGATTCATCACTTAAGTTAGAAATAAACAAACTGCATATAGAGCCTCAATGTGCATGGTGACTTTTATATACAAGTACTCCCAATTATAACTAGGTTCAGATTTATCAGAAGGCAAAAACTTTTGGGCAAAGGGAGAGACTAAAAACAAACTCATCACTGCACAGTGCCCTGCTTGAGCAAATCTGACTGGAGCTTAAGAAACTCCACCCAGTTCTGGCTAACATCAAAGGAGACTTACACCACTCTGCCAGAAAATAAGCCCCATATTATTTAACCAGGCACAAAGAGAACATGCAGTTTTTAAGCACAGCACTTTGGACATCTGATCTTTCATTCTGACTACATGCCTGAAGTGAAACTGAAATGAGAAGAGTTTTGAAAATAGGTGAACAAAGATAACAAGAAATGACATGACAAGATGATGAAGCAAGGAAAAAAATTTTGGTCTCTTGACTACACTCTTACTATTAATAGCTATGTGCTCATAAAAAGTATATAAGAAGATATGATAGGTCACAAAGCACCGCTTCTGTTACATGTTTTGTTTTTAATGTTTTATTTATTTCTGAGAGAGAGAGAGAGAGAGATAGGCAGTGTGAGCCAGGTAGGGTCAGAGAGAGAGGGAGACACAGAATCCAAAGCAGGCTCCAGGCTCTGAGCTGTCAGCACAGAGCCCAACACGGGGCTCAACCCATAAGCCGTGAGATCACGACCTGAGCCGAAGTTGGACACTCAACCGACTGAGCCACCCAGGCGCCCCACATGTTGTTTTTTTTGAAGTTTATTTTTTTTGAAAGAGAGAAAGAGAGAGGGAGAAAGACAGAGCACGAGCACATACAAGTTGGGGGAGGGGTAGAGAGACAGGGAGAGAATTCCAAGCAGGCTCCGTGCTGACACAGCACAGAGCCTGACACAGGGCTTGGACCTACAAACTATATGTTCATGACCTGAGCTGAAATCCAGAGTCAGACGCTTAAGTGACCCAGCCATTCACTCAGGTGCCCCTTGTA